GTATCTCTGAGTCTGTGCATTGCAGCCTGGGAATGTGGTATCGCGACACTTTCTACTGTGAAAAATCCCAAATAAAAGCTTTTAAACACAATAAGACATTTCCCAGCAGGAATATGATCCAAAATCAGAAAGAGATGAACAACAATAGCAACCAACATTCCGCATTTCTCTGACTGTAGCGTATAGCTACATGTAGCAGCATACTTGTAGGCAGTGTAACTGTGTATAGCCTCACTTTCTCTCGTTAAAAATCACCATTATTCAAATGAACATGATCCGAAATCTGGGAGTAATGTACAACACCAGCATCCAAGATCGTATGCTTCCCAGGTGTTAGCATCTAACTTCATGTAGCAGTATCCATAATATAAACACTTGCAGTAGCATGCCCTGGAGCAGATGACCATAAAGGAATTTGTCACAAGCTGATGTTATCTTGTAGCCACAGAAGAAAAAAAAAAAACACAGTCCGAAGCCTGAGGATTTTACTCACAGAGATTATTTTTGACATATGTTTACCTCATTATCCAACATTGTAACATTATGACAGAAAATAAAGATAAGCACAAAAGTACACTTTAAATATTTAAGCACTGTATCATAAATTACTTGTCAGTTGTGACACATTAGATTTTAAATGCTATCTATAAAAAGTGGCACTTTTATTTCAGAAAAGGAAGTTTTACATTTATTCACACATCTTAAAATGAGCAATGGTTTCAAAGATTTTGTAGTTTTTATAGAACATTAATTTGTAGTGCAATTTGGGAAGGACATAATTTGTGTGATGATTTTTACTTTAGAAAAAAATGTCCTCCACAACTAATAAAAAATCAACTTACCATACATCCACAAATGACTTATTGGGCTCTAGTTTCCCAGCGCAGCGCAGGGTGGCGAACCCCACGCAGAGCTAGTTTCGAGCAGCGCAACTCGAGGCATGCTCAGTTTGGTAGTTTGGCAGACCGAGGTGCGCTGAGATGGGTGTGGCGGCGCAGCAGGGGGAGGTGTCGACAGATCCAGCTTGGCGCAGTGACAGTTTCGTGCCAAAAGGCTTCGCCGAAGGTGCGCTAAAAGCTCACCAGCTGAAAACAGGTCTACTGTCAGCGCAGGCGGAGCACAGCCGGTGTAAGCAGAAGTTTGGCTGACCGGCGGACAGTGCGCACACGTCACCAAAACCTCACAGGCAGGTTTCCAGAATATCAGGCACATTAACGATGCAATAAATACCCCAAAAACCACTATTCAATGCAACTATCTGCAATCAGCACATAAATGTATCTCTATATCGACTGTCCCGTCACATCTGATGTCAGATCAAAGGGGATTGGCACTGTTTGGCACATTTGGCACGCGTAATGGAAACCCAACCTGATTTGATTAACACAGCAGCAAACTAATGAGTTCACATCCCTCTCAGCCAACCACAAACAGCCACAGCATCAGAAAGGGAGTATATATTCAGCATCTGTCATCTTAGAAAAGTCAAAAGAAAAGAAACAGAGTGAGACTGTGAGAGAGAAAGAGAGAGAAAGAGAGAGCGCGCACGAGAGAAACGCAACATTGATTTACAGTTGTGGTGACCTCCTCCCAGGCTACCTTTGCATCATCAGCCCGTGGAGGTCTGCTCGCAGTTCCGGACACTGCGAGCTTGGACCTCCCGGACCAAAACATCAGTTTCCTCCTGGGAGAAGTTTGGCCGTCTGACGCTGCTGCTCTCTTCTGCCATGGCAAGTTGAGTAAACTCTCATTACGCCACCAACTTACGCCAAATCCACCTGGCCACACCCAGTTGGCGAAGCGCAGGTGCACTGCGCCCCCGCCTCACCCAGTCTGCGAAACTAGAGCCCATTGTGTGAACAGGATTTCAGTTTAACTACATTGTCAGCACTTGTAGCAATATTTTCTTTCTGTTGGAGACATAAAATGCAACTTTTATGTGACAGCTTCTTTGTGTCCTACAAACGGCATGTAAAAGCTTTTACATCCTGGATGTAGGTTCAATTACTCTTGTGACACATCAGATGGTAACTAAACAGACATATATTTATCTTACAATGCTGTTTATTGAATATATTCAGGAGGCAGTCTCAGATCACGATGACTTTTCCCCTTTTGAATCATCTCTTCTGTGAGAGTCATTGTTAAGCATCTGAAATAAGAGAAAGGCAGTGAAGGAACATCTCATCCATCTCTATAGCTCGAGCAAATATTGAAATCCATGATGTGAGAGCGTTGGGCCTCCCTCTCCTCCTTCACATCTGTGACAGATGTAAATGGATGTTTCAGCAGTTGGCTCTAATGCATTTTTAAACAGGCACAGCAGCAGACAGCAAATGAACGTGTTGCGACGGCAACACTCTACGACGGGGTCTCCATCTATCGTTGCCTCCTCCTCACATACAAACATACAAACCCACTTACACGCACACACACACACACACACACGATCCTACACACTGCTGAGAATGGCTGTCATTCATCAGCTTTCTCAGTACAATGGGCTCAGTAAAGGTCCCATCTTTCAACTAAAGCATCTCCACACTGCAGTGCCCAGCCGAGCTCTGTACCACTGCATCACATTCCCTGTCAACCGCAAACACTCCGGCACAGTAGGATGGAGATATGATTGGGAGAAACTGTTGTTTATTCTCAGAGTTGGAAATTAAAATGGCAGAAGACTGTTTCTGCTGATTAGACCAACTCATGCACACAGAGAGACAGAGAAAAAAAGGCAATGACCAAAGACGGAGGATGTGCGTGTGTGTGAATGTATTTGAGAAACTGTGCCGTGGAGGACTGCAACTTCAGAAAACAAATAGAAAACATTTTCACCACTTTTACAACATATGTGTCACAATTAAATGGTTCAATGTTTTACTTAAATGCTTGCATTTAAGTAAAACACCAGCACATTTAGAAACACACTCGCTAATCACTTTCAAACATTCACAACATTAAAATAACACTGTAAAATAAGAATCAACAGTCAAATACAGACATGCTTTTACAGACATAAGTTGAGATTTAAATGTATTTATGATGCTGCTATTGCAAAGGTTAGGAGTGATCTTTCACATGCAAATGTTAATTTTAGTTGACACATATTGATTGTGAGGTGTAAAGCATTTGAAAATAGTTGATACTTCATGGTTCAGATAAAAAGTGAAAGGTGAGAAGAACTATGTCTGCCAAGGTGCATTTCAATAAGAAGCATCCACTTACAAATCTTAAAATTCTGTTCTGTGCATCAGTAACAGCAGGTGAAAGCTAGAGATTATGCTGTTAAGATAATTAAAACAATGCAACAACATAAATACAAATAACACCCACTTTTGCCACTAAAAACATGTCTGGAAATGTCCCAAGCTCTTGTTAAAAAATACCTGCTTTCATCACTCTAAACACCGCTTGAAATGTCCCAAACTCATATTGAAAAACATCTGCTTTTGTCATTATGATCACTGCTGGAAATCTCCCAAATGCTCACAAAAAAAATACCCACTTTTGTCGCTAAAAATATGGCTAGAAATGTCCCAAACTCTTGTTATAAAATGCACAATTTTGTCACCACAAGTATGGCTGGAAATGTCCTGAACGCTTGTTAAAAATATTTGTTTTTGTCACCACAAACATGACTAGAAATGTCCAACATTCACGTTAAACAATACCCACTTTCATGACTACGACCACGGCTTGAAATGTCTCTAGCTCTTGTTGGAACATACCTGCTTTTGTAGCTAAAAACATGGGTAAAAATGTCTGAAACTCTTGTTGACAAATACCCACTTATGTTGCCGTGAACACAGCTAGAAATGTTCCAATATCTTGTTAAAAAATACCAGATTTTGTTGATTTCGAACAGTGGTTTGCTGCTATCTGCTGATAGATGTCTTGCCATCCACCATGCCCTCCCCCTGATAAGACACACTGGTCACACACATGTCGAGGTTGAGGTGGTGTAACAGTGATGGCTTCCACAAAACAAACACTGAAACAAACCAGATCACAGCAGCTATCGAGAAACATAGGGTGGGGCATGGATCTAAGTTGAGGGATGTTTGTGTGGCAAGTGTGTGTTTGTGGTGTTGGAGTGGGTTGTCCAGAAGAGGACATAAGCATTTTTGTGTTTGTGTGAGAGTGTGTATGAGTCAGGTGAGGATGTGACTGCGAACAAAACAAGCTGGCAAGAATAACATTTCTACATCCTCTTTGCAATGCGTCTGTGTGCCGCCTGTGTGTTGTCACTTTGGTGGATGCCATTCTTTGCGTGAGTTTAATTAATTTGAGCCTTTTTAGATATGTGTATATGTGTTGTTAATGTGATTTTTTAAAAAGTGCTCTGCTTGTGGTTTCATGAGTTGAAGTGTGTCGGCCGCCGTAGAATTATCACACTGAGGCATTTTCTCATGATGACTGCACGGATTGATGTTGTGTTTGTGTCTTTTCTCTCAAGTAACACAGTTTTCAAAAAATATGGGAGCCTGTATGTTCCAGGACAGGATGTTATAAATATTGTATACAGCCCTGTTTTTTTGTTTGTTTGTTTGTTTGTTTTTTCATCCGTAAGGTTTCTACTGTAGCCTCTGACTCTCTGGATTCTGTTTGATGTAAACAAAAAATGTTTTGCAGGGTAACACTGAGCGGACTCCACCTACTGCAGCCTTACTCATCTCATAATGTCTCGCATCTCTTTTTATGTCCATTAACTTCATTTGAAGAAATTAAAGGGATATTTCACCCACAAAATTAGTTTATCCCCAGTAGAATGGCGATGTGGCTTTGTGACTTGTGTATTCTATAAAAGTCAACATAAAATGCACAAATTTCTCGACATAAATCGGTATTTTGTGAATTATATGAAAAGCATATCTCACAACTGGTGAACTGTCTCTTTAATTGTCACCCTCACACTGCTAACGGTCTGTACAGTATTTGAGCTGATACAGAGCACTCCTCATGGATGCTGAACGGATCTTTCATTGCTTTTGTCATTGCAGGTACCCATCAACACAGCTATAACCATGTGGCTTTAGGTAGCCCTACACGCACACCTAAGAATGGTAAGACAAACTAGGGGGAGAGGGGAATATTCAAGTGAATCCACAGCTCTGTTCAGTGTTTGAGGTGAAGCCTGGACCAGGGCATTAACTTGAATTTAGTGCCTGACACGGATGTGTGAAAAACCCCTTGACATGGTCCTCTTTTCAATTTGTCACACCGCGAATCCATTCTGTTATTGAAAATTAGGCTTTTTCATTGACGATTGAATCATAGAAGTGTCACATCCCATAGGCATGAACATTTTTCTGTGAGCGGAATCAGGCCATAGTCGCTGTCCATCTCTTTTTTAAAGGGAATACAATTGGTGGAGTATCAAGGTAATGTTCTGTCGAGGTCATCCCGTCCTCTGGTTGACGGAGCGTGAAACCCCAAGAACAAAAAGTTATCACCGTAACCTCATGCTTCCCGTGAGGAGCATCACTGTGAATCGGTTTTTATTACTGATGTCATGCAGCTGTTTGTTCGAACAGTTCTTCTGAGTGAGCTGAGGCTGGCCCGGGGTCGCAGACTGGCAGATGTGAAGAGTAGTGGTTGCATAAGGAAGCAAGGTGGAGACTGGAGAGAAGAGAGACAGCAGAGAAAAAGAAAAGAAAGGAGGCCATAAGCTGAATATTCGCTGCCTTCTATATTTATTAAATCAGTCTGATGTTGCCATTTGATTTATATTCTGTTTGTTTCAACCACAAATACAAAAAAAATGACTCGCTTGCTCTCAAGCATTCAGGGGTTGTGCTTGAAGTCTGCAGCCAGAATGGCCTCTTCTTTATGGACATAATTGACCATGTGGTCTATTTTGCGCGTGCGCACACACGCACACACACACACACACACACACACACACACAGATAAGCAAACTGCGACTATGGAGAAATGCCTTGGAGATCTATGGAAAACATGAAAAATCCATTTCAACAACACATCTAACACAGACTTTGATCACAGGCCCCCTGAAAGGCTTCCAATTTCAGCACGTAGTGTATTTTCTAGATAAAACCCGCTGACACCATCCCACCCCACCTCCCCCCAGGTTGTGACTCAAACAACCAGGAGATACAGTTGCAAATCACAAGCAGAAAATGTGCAATCATACACACAAGTGTACATCACATGCCGCAGGAAGTAAACGCTGATTTTAATTTTTTTTTTTTTTGGGGGGGGGGGGGGGGGGGGGGGGCTCTGTACTAGTCATGCTGAATATGGAGTAGGTCTCTGTAGGCTTTGCTTTTCTCCCCATCAACATGTCTCTGAAATATTTGTTTTTCACTTGGGTTTGGTAGCTCACCGATCATTGAGACGTGGTAAGTCATACAGACATTTAGTGTACAATTCATTCATTACATTCCAGCACATATTTATGTACACATTCACCACAAATCAACCTCCACGTTTGTGTCTTCCACTTGAGTTGTGTTTTCAGACCTGATCTAAGTAGCATTTGCTAATAAGTCTTGCTGTTTGTTTGAACCTGCTTCAACAAGAAAATTCATTTCAGTTTGTCAAGTGGGGCAAAAAAAGTCCAAGAATCCTTCTGACCCATGAAAGTACATGAAAGTAAATTCATGTGATTTCATGTGAAAGCTGTGACAAAGTAACTGTATGGTTTTCTAAATTCCACAAAAAGACCAAAACCAACAATGTTTTGGTTTTGAAGTCTCTGATTCCCCACCCTGTCTGCAGTGCTCAGTCACAAGCCTATAGGTCACTAATACAATGACATTTTTACACAGCTGGACACTACTCCACTAGGCTAGTTTTTAGCAAACATTATTTAAACTGGAGGAAATAGTGCATTTGCTGGGGACTATTTTTAGTCGTGGATGAATAAACCTTTGAACACACAACTTCAGTTTATTTAGAGATTTATGGGTTTGTTGTTTTCACCAGATAGAGAAACAGTTGACCAATCATAGCTTTGTAGTAACGAGTAAAAATGGGGAAATTCCATTCCTACGTGGCTGGCTAGCCACCTGTCTAAGCCAAATAAAAGGTAGTGAGAGAAAAAAATGGAACAAGCATAGATGAAATCCAGGCAGCCCTATGTGTTGTTGTTAATCAACCTAGAGAACGGAAGACCCCTAAATGGACATATTTCTTAAATTGTCATAACATTAACTGATCCTAACAACTGCTATGTCACTTTGGAACAGGTTAGGGCAAAGCAAAGCAAAACATACTACCCTTGCAACAAGTGTCAGGCAGAATGATTGTAGTAAAATAAAAGAGGGATTCAATCTGATTAGCAGGATAGGTGTATGTGCCCATGTCCATCATACTGTAGGAACATACCACCCAGTGGGTGCCATGCAATTGTTCCAACAGCCTATTATTCCGAAACCCTAGTAGTACAAAAAAAAGTTCCATTGGAGCAAAAGCCCTGACAGCCCATTATCCTGAAAACAAACAGCCATTGCTTCAAAGGACCATTGCTCTGAAAATACACACACTCCCTGCGGTTAGAAAGATTGATGGCCTGCAATCAGTCAGCCCTGCAATAAAAAAATGTTCCTACAATGGTGAAGGTATGATCCTCCCTCCTCTGCCTCTGATTGGTTTATTGTTATATTCTTATGCTAACCTATCAGAATCCCCGACCAAGCCCCTAAACCTGAACCCTAACCATTCAACAACTCACAAAACTCAACAATCTGGAACAATCTGGAACACTCTGGTACCGGGTCACATATCTGATTGGTCCCAGAGTTTGGTATTACACCTGGCATTCCTGCAGGACGAAAGACTGCAAAGCAACCCAATGAATATTATATTCTACATAAATCCTCTTACTGAAAAATATAAAATTTGATGTAAGCCCTTTTTAATCACAAAAGCTTTGATTATTATGTATTTTTTCTGAGTAAGTGTTAGGGATTAGAATGACACCTCTTTTGTAATTATTAACTCTTACATGTTAGTAGTTACTTTTCAACACTGACCCTTGCCAGTCACACTCCTCATGCATAAATCTAACTGACCCAACCAACGAAGGCAACAAGTACTAGCCAGCAGAGGCAGAGTCCGGCAGGTCATACCTTTGCCGTAGTAGGAAAAAGGAATTGGCGCCTGGGAAGGTCCAGTGATGTCATTGTGCATAATAATTAGCAACATGCTTCTGTTTGGGAGAGTGTATATTTCAGAGCAGTGGGCGTTGGTTTTCAGGAGAACAGGCTGTTGGGCTTTGGGTCCAATGGGACATTTCTGCCCAGTTGGGGGTTTGGAAAAAATGGGCCATCAGAACAATGGGCAGTCCCCACCCAGTTTTCGGTACAAGACTTAGGTTGGGAAGGCTTGTTAGTAGGATCACTTAACTGTTGGTTTTGGTCTTTTAATTTTGTCATTGCATTTTTCGTCAGTAAAAGAAATATCTTCAGACTTCTCTCTTAAAAAAACATGCTGGATCTGCAAAGACTACTTGTGTCAGGTCTGTGTGGTTGTACTGTCCATCGTGATGAAGCAGTGAAAAGTGTTTGCTATTGAGATAGCTAACAGCATGCAACAATCTGAGTCGATTCTTCCGTATTGATGCAGTGTGGCAGACAGTCCAGTCACAGATCGTTCACATCCTTCAAACTCCCTCCCTGCAGCTCCCAGGATCCCCTGCTGTCGCCCGGCCCTGTTGCCACCCCTCTGTCCTACTCTCCCAAGCCGCCCTCCTTGTTTCATCAAACTATGCTCTTTCCTTCTTGTATTTCGGTCTCCTTTATTTCCTTTTAGATTCTCTTATCTCCATCTCTTCTCCTCTTTCCTTTCCTTCTCTCCATCCTGCAGCAGTTACTAAAGCCCTATTTTTATCTGTCCATTGGAGGCTGGTGATGAGCCGCACCCATGCCCGCTGCTCTGCACTGCGTGACAGACTCACAGACCACTGGGGAAAGCGAGATAGAGCAGGAGTGAGAAAGAAAATGAGAGAGAGGGGAATACTGAACGGACAAGAAAGAATTAAGGAGCGGAGGAAAGTGGGTGGCAGCATGGTAGGACAGATAAGATTGACAGAGCAAGGAAGACGGTGGAGAATGGGACAGACTGCGGATGTTTGTGTGTGTGCATGTGTGAAAAAGGGAGATAAAGAGAAGGCGAAAATAAAAGAGGGCTTTGGTCCAGTCACCCCCCTTGTGCGTCCTTCTGGCATCATATCACGTCACATCAACGACAGCCAGTCCAGGCATTGCTCTCTGCCCGGCCCCAGATCACATCACAGCACTGTCACGAGCAGGGTCACTCTGCAGCACACATCTGTTGTTTGGTGTGTTGTCTTGTTTCTCTCTTTTTCTTTTTTCTTTTGTGGACCGCTGTTTCCTCCCGTCAAACCACCACGTCACCTGTCAAGTCAGTCCCGCACCAACCGCTCACTGAGTGCCTGATGTGACCGCCTGTACTCCCCCATCGCTGCCACCAGCAAGTTGGAGTTTTAGATATGCAACCATTTCTCAAAGGCTGACACTCTAAACTCACCGGCTGAGTTAAAGCTCAGGCAGAGAAACTGTTTTCTTGAGTAAGTGATGTTAAAATTGAAAGAAAAGAGACGAAGAGTCCTGGTGCTTGTGATACTAACCTTAGAGTGTATAAAGCCAACAACCAGGGCTGTAGCCGAGCTTTTAGAAACACTGAGGTCATGAGTCCAAACACCACCCAAAAAATATTTCTGACTAGCCCACAAATATTTTTCCTTAAAATGCATTATTTATATATACATTTGTTATTTCTATATTTGCATTCAGTGTATTCACTCTATTGTTAAATACCCTTTTCTGTAAACACTGTTAAGATGCTGTTTCAAAGCCCACAATGTCAGCATATAATTCTAATGGGGATGTAGCAAGTCCCTGTGTTATTTAGTTTTTGGCCTAAAAACAGCAAAAAAAATTTAGACAGTTCAATTTGGGATACAGTTTCAGGCTAACAATGATCAAGTCTTTAGTTCTCCTTGTTGTTTTATGAGCACAACAGAGAGTACAAAACTCTAACAAGGTATCAGGCTTCTCATTTTTACTGACAGTCTCTTTTGCTGGTTAAAATGAAATTATTATTATTTGAAATGGGGCTGTCAGTGGTTCAAAAAATGTAATTCTAATTTACATGTAAAGTTACCTGTCCACAGTGGCGTTTTTGGATACAAGAGCCTGTGCCACCTCCCAGCACTGGGCGCTTGATGGGCATGCAACTAGGCAGCGTTTAATTGTGGGCTGTGGGCTCCTAGATTTCAAACTGGACCAACACAGCAGCTCTTGAAACTTTCATTTATATTACAAAAATAACTCACCAAAATGTGTCTCTTTAAACATAATCTGCCTTCATTTTGGGTCGACAATAGTTAGTTTAAACATTTTTCGGGAGTCTCTAGAGGTGGTAAGTGGTTCTTGATGCCCCTAATTTGCAAAGTAGCCTAGAACTTAATGCAAATAAAGATGCCCCACCTCTCAGAACTCAATGCAACAATACCAGAATGCAGAATGAAAGCAAAGTGGTGAGGCGGCAAAATGGTGTAATATTCCCACCTTGAACAGGCAGTGTAAAGGGGGTAGAATTTATTCAAATCAATGCAACCCAGGCAGCCTATCCTAAAATACACCGTAGAATTAACATTGTTCCATTTATTTCCTTCACTGCCTCATTTGCAAGCTAACATTACTGTAAAGCAGTTGTGTTAAAAAAAACAGCCTTAAAAATGTTTTCATATATGCTGCTGAATCCAATGCTGCCTCACATTTCTTTTCACAGTAACATGCTATGATTTGGTATTCGGTTGTAAAGCTTGCTAGCTTTCTCCAGTTTGCCTTAGCAAGGACAAAAGCAGTTACACCAGTACTGGGGGACTGCCTAATTGTTCTGACGGGTAATAATGCCGAAGCCCCAATAGTCCAAAACGTGCCCCACTGGACTGAAAGCCCATTCCTAGGACAGCCCATTATCTTGAAAACAAATACCATTTCTCCAAAGGGCCATTTTTCTCAAGGCACTCTCGCAGTTATTTGGGTTGCTTAGATTTAGGCATGAGGATTGAGACTGGTTAAGATTAGGATAAGAATATTGAGGTAGGCCAAGCAGAGGCAGAATAAGGTGGGTCATGCCTTACCCATTTTAAGAGGGTCCTACTGAATTCACTCTGCATAATAATTGGCCATGTACTTCTGTTTGGGAGAGTGTGTAGTGTATTTTGGAGAAACGGCCCTTCCGAGCAATGCACGTTTATTTTCAGGACACCAGGCTGTTGGACAAATGGCCTTTTAATCCAGTGGGACATTTTTTGGACTGTTAGGACTTTGGAATTATGAGCTGTCAGAATAATGCAGGCTGTTCTCATGCACTGTTAGTATGTTTTCCTACGAGATGTAGTGCACCAAATTTCATACATATCCCACGTAATCATAAACCAGTAATTTGTGTATAACCCACATATTTGGGAAGGCAATAATCACGTGACTAATGCACTGATAGAAGTAAAGAAATAAGCAGGTGTGGGTGGTGGAGGGGTCACAAAACATGGGACTTTCCCCACGGGATCTTCCCAAAGACGTGAACTTTGACTAAACATTGAGTCATTTTAAAGTACGTTTTCACCAAGTTTACTTGCCTAAACCTAATTGCTGTAACTTTATGTCAAGTCCATAATGTCATCCGTGGGGTGCAAATTCATAGGCTATCATATGTACCATTGCATAAGGATACATTAACCAATGGCATAGTGCCATTTACTGACCGCACACAAGAACTTATAATTATGTGCATTTTAATAATGTTCACCACTTGAGTTTAAGCTGGACAGTTGTGCTCATACAATGAGAATTTTGAATTTGAACATTTTGAATTCATTTTCACATAAAAAGTGACAGCACTAAAATCTGCTGTAGCTGAAAAACATCAATGCCAAGTAAGTTACCAAAAGATCAAAAAGAAACTTGGCTGTTATCTAGTTAGTTTGTTGGCCAACAATCCTGAAGCACCACTCTCTGACATCCCTCTGGGTTTTTGTTGGTTCATATGACAAACAATTTGGTGAGTTTTCTCCAGAGACATAATATAACGAATGATTGTGTTACTTGAGAGACAATACCAAGGACATGTCCTCTCTGTCTTCCATGGTAGCTACAGCCCTGGCAACAACAATACATTATTTACACCTGACAAAATTCTGGAGAAACTATGGTGTCTATATTTTGTAATATTTTAACTTGAATTTACTTGCACAATAAAAAGTAAACTTCCGCAAATCCAACCGTGGATTCCTTCTTTATGCCAATTAGATTTTTTCAGAGCATCTCTGCCTCTAGGAAATATTTGTAAAACTAAAGCTCCAGCCTGCCCGCCAGCTCAATCTCCCTTCTTTCCCTCAGCAGGTGGTCTTCCATGGTGGCCTGGCTAGCTTTTTGGGGGGGGACAGGGGATAGGAGAAGCCAGCCTGCCCATTTTTTTCTCTTCCCTTTTCTGTGTCTGTATATGTATGTATGTGTCTCCAGAAAACAATCGGATAAGCGGCATCCTGACCTCGCAGACGGAGCCCTACGACCTGTCTTTCTCACGCTCCTTCCAGAGCCTGTCACACCTGCCGCCCTCCTATGAGGCGGCCGTCAAAGCCGACCTCAGCCGGTTCTCATCCCTGAAGAAACTCAGTAGGTCCAAGTTCACTGCACTAATGCAAGACTAGGCTCCCTGCCCTGATGCCCTGCATGACAAAAGAAAAAAAAATTGCATTAAGTGTGCTTCCCTGACTCCTGACTGGGACTTACTGAGTGGCTCCAAAGTGTTTCGGCTATGAAAGTGATTTGCTTGCTGTACGAAGGACATCAAACAATCGAGAGAAAAAAAGTCCTCACACACATCTTTCTGGAGATTTTTGCAACTCCCCATTGATCATTTCAGTGGATGTTGAGGGCCTTGAATCAGAATCATTTCTCAACTATGATCCTTCATGAAATCAGCCTAGTCATCTCACGAAACTATGAGTCATTGATATTCCATGCTTCCCTTGTCTCCACTTAAAGGCTGCAGCCACTATTTCTCTTGGAGCGTATAAGTACATTAAGCGGCTTCTTGTGCCTGGCCCGGCTCAGTATTGATTTAGCGGTGCTACGCTGGATTTCTGCTGTGTAATGAGGTCTCATCTCATGATATTCTCCGAGTGGAACGCAAATATTCCTTAAGGCTCGTGTAATTTCATCATGACTGCCCCACTTCACTGCTGGCGTGCAGTCAAAGTGAAGGATGACGATCTACAACTCATCCCGTCAGGGCTCACTCCACACTGGCTCCCACACGTAGCTGCCGGGCACCATTTCAAACTAAATGGCAAAACAGGTTTGCAGGATGCAGTGCTGCTATTTACTGGTCCTCAGTCGTATTGGAAGGAGAAAAAAACAAAACAACATTATCGTGCTTTTGCTTGAAGAATTAACGTAATAGTTTAGGCCAAAACCAAATGAATTCAATTGTCAGAGACAGAAGCCCACAGAGGAGACAGTGTTAAAATGGAAAAATATCCTTAGGCAGTGTCCTTCAGTCTTCCCAACTTTCTTTCTGCTTCCAAAGCAAATTATTTGTTGCAGCAAATAGCCAAAAGGCTCTGCAGTTTCTTTTTGTTGCTCAACTAGTGTGTGCACACTGATAGATCATGTTGGATTGTGCTGGAGGGAAGATAGAGCAGCGTTTTCATTGTCGGGATAATAAAAGAGAAGAATGCTACTGCTTATTAATGCAAATTGGTATCAAACTGAAGAAAAGCATTTAGCCCATTGCAGCGCAGGACAGTATACATCACAAGTTATTCATTCACTCCGTGGTAATATAGTTGATGAGTTTGCAATGCCCCTGCCCGAATCCTGAAGACTATTATGCTTGAGAAAGGAACATCTTGTTTTTATTATCTCTCATAATGAATCGATTTGCAGCGAGCACCCATGGCTCGCTGCTGAAGGGGATTTTGGCTGAGTGTAATCTTGACAGGTGGTGTGAGCACTGCTGCACCCATTATTGAAAAAGACAGGCTTGAAGTCATCTACGATTTCTCAACAAGGTGGAGAGGTCTGCTCTCCACCATTTATTTCCCCCATATAAATGACACCTCTGACTGTTTAAACATTCATGCTGGTGTTCAGGAAGAATAAAGAGTTTGCGTCTTCATAACAATGGACTTATGAATGTTTCCAGTTTTTAATTTATGCTGCATTTTGTCTCTTTGACAAGCTGTCTGACAGAGTTTTTGTGAATGTGCGTCACTATGTGTGTGGTCCTGTACTCAAAGACGAGTCTTTCTGCATGTGTTTGTGTTGTGTGGCATGTGGTTGATGACACATTCACTCCTACGCTCTACTGTCTCTGGAAATGTATTCTCGTCTTTTGTGATCTGCTTCTAAATGCATGTTGTCGATGTTTGTACACACGAATAAAGATAAAACACTCTCTCGAGCACATTAAAACACAATTCTCAATGGGAAGTGACTGTTCAATAATACAATTAGCTTTCCAGCATGTACACAAGGTGCTTGTGTGTTTCCCTTCGTATCTGTATGATATGACGATGTTTGTTTATAGACTTTCACATGACCTTTGAAAAGTTTGCTCCCACAGCCAGAGCTGCCTGTAGACTCCCAGATGAAGCCTGGATGTGTGGATGCTATGTGCCTAGCATGTAATACAGTCTGACTGCGATTCCTGTGTCTCTCTATTTTCTATTCCCCTCCATGAGCTTGGAAAGGTGAAACACAGATGGGTCCGCCAACACTATTCTCTGCACTGTGCGCAATGTTCTCCAATCCCAGTTTATCCAATTTCTCCCCTTGCATTCTAACACCTACCTGTGTTTTCTCTTGCTTTCACTCCCTGAACCTCCTCTTCACCTCTTGCTTCTTTTTTCTTTTATTTATTCCTGTCTCTTCTGCAGCAGATAAAGAAGTCGAGGACTACTACACTCGTAAGCGCCACCTGCCCGACCTGGCAGCAAGAGGCACTCTTCCCTTGCATGTTCTCAAAATGAGTCAAGAACAGGTGGGTACATAAGTGCTTGGTTTAAGAGTGCAGCCGTCTAAACAAGGTCATGCTCTTTGCTTTTTATGCATCTGTGAGGCAAAGCAAGTGTGCTATCTCTGAGTCTCCAGATTTGAATTTGTTAGAAGCTATAGCTGGTCTTTCTCTGCTTCCTGCAGTAGTGGGTGGCAGAGCCTTTTACCCCTGCATTTGTGAATAAACTCACCTCATTCATCTTTTGCTCAACAGCACCGGGAACAGCAGCAGCTCCAGAGCCAGGCCCCGCAGTCCTCCATCTCCCAGGCACCTTCCCAGTCACAGTCTTCACAGCAGTCTCAGCAAAGGCAGAGGCCTCGTCGCGTCCAGAGGGCCATGTCCCAGGATCGCGTCCTGTCCCCACAGAGAGCCCCACAGCAGGATTATAGCATGTCCTCTAATGGTATGTCCCCATACGGAGGCAGGATCCTCTCAGACGAACAGCTCCTGTCTGCCGAACGCCTTCGATCCCAGGAGCGTCTTCTTCCACAGGACCGCCACACCTCCCAAGATCGTCTGTACTCCAAGGACCGCATATACTCCAAGGACCGACTCCTGTCGCAGGATCACCTCTACTCAAAAGACCGCCACTACTCTCAAGAACGCCTCTATTCACAAGATCGCCTGTACTCACAAGACCGCCTCCTATCCCAGGATCCCCTGCTCTCCCCGGACAAGCTGATGTTGTCGCTGAAGCGCGGCATGGTTAGCAGCATCTCCGGCGGGTTCCGGGGCAGCGATAAGTCAATGTCGCGTGCCATCTCGCACACAGATGTGTTCATACCAACCACGCCACTTATGGATCGCTACAAGATGACCAAAATGCACTCCCATCCCAGTGCCTCTAACAATGGTGGTGGTGGCGGCGGCGGCGGCGGCGGCAGTGGCGGTGGCGGCAGCAGCAGCGGGGCAGCAGGAGCGGGAAGCACCGGGCACTCCAACACTTTAGCCATGAATCAGACAGTAAACAAGAGGCAGGCGTTTGCCTCCAGACGGACTCACACTGTGGAACAGCTCCACTACATCCCACCGCACCACCAGCAGCAGCAGCAGCAGCAGCAACAACAACAGCCACAGCACTACCGCACAGGAAGCAAGACTGAAGTGACTGTGTAACGGCAGCCAGGACTACCTGAACTGCACTGGAAGGAGCACTGTTGTGTGCCAGGGGGGTGGGGTTGATTGAGGTATGTGGGTACACTGGCCTTCTTTAAGAGTAGGATGGTGGCGATTTCACTTTCTTTGACTGAGGTTCCTGCAAAGTCAGACATTCCAGGACCAAGAACATCCACTAGCTTACTGTGAGAGACCGGAAAAACGAGCTACACTGTACACCGTATACACAGGCCCAGCTAGATCTGAAGCCAGAGAGGGTTGTGGATGGGGGAGGTGTGGTATTATCCAGCTAACTTGCCTATTATTTCCACTGTCTTGATTACCCTATTCATCCACAGGCTACAGCCTCATTCTGTGTATGTTTTAGTGAGAAAACACTGATTGTGTCTGTTTAAGCCTTTATCGGCCCCCTTTGTCCAACAAATCTACTCTGTGACCTTTTCTGGCAAATCTTAAAGGGCTTTGCATGGTTAAACACATAGACCGACTCCTCCGTGACTTCTGTTGTGCAACACAACACCACCACAGGTGATGAACAAGGTTGAGCCTGTAATAACTTTATAAATATATAAATAAATGAATAAAAAAACAACCATTTGTACGCCCTGTCCGACTCATAGCTCTAGTGAATCTCAATGAGAGAAATTGAAATGGATGTTATTAGCACTTCTATTCGGTGCCTCTGACAGATGTTCCATTTCTAAAAATGAAGTGGTTTTGTGGGTTACAAAGCACAATCAATAAAAAAATATTCTGTTCTTTTTATGATTTTGTTTTTGAGTTTGAATAGTGATGGCTAGCTTGTTTTGTTCTTAAAGCAATGGCAGGTTTTTTTGCTTCCAGTAGACGATTGTAAATAAGCTATTCTAGAAGCAGTACTATGGACAAGTCTGTACTGGATGGACTTTGTATTAGACTGTCTGTTTTCAATAGATTCTTAAAAAAAACAACTATAAATCATCACTGTTTCGTGAGCTCAGAATAGAAACCCACTTAACCAAGTATTTGACAGGATAAATTAATACTCTACTGTGTGTGTCTTTGCAAAACTGTTTGTAGGACGAGAAGTGAATGAATGTGTCGTTGATAACAGATATACCACTGTTCATATTTGGATGTAGACTGTGTTCCATTGACATCTGAGGAGTTGAACATCATGGAAATGGATTATAATGCTTGTTATAGTAGGGTCAAATAAACCATCCATATTTTTCTAAACATTCAACATTGTTTCTTGAGAGATGTCTGTGTTGTGTGTTTGATTCTAAAAATGGATACACCACATTACCACTGTAAGTTCTAGGTGTGCAGTCATATTTAAGTGAATTGCAGTGGAGGGAGAAATAACTTTATTGGTTGAGTTCAGTTCCAGCATGTGGAGTAAAAACCAATCTTCCTTGATAAAGTGAAATTAGACTGTAAATAAGACTGGAGGCAATGAAGGAGGTACATTACACAACTTAATGGTGTGTTTGCAATCCAAGTAAGCAACCAGCTTACCAGTGTTTTACTGACCTGAGGGGTGTACCACAAAGTTAGATTAGTGGATTAATGAGGTATGTTGAGTCTACAGGTCTTTTCAGAACAAATGCAAATAATCAGTGCAAATAAACCACACAGCGATCAAAAAATTTGAGCCCATCTATCTCTACAAGGCTATTCACACCAAATCTGAAACTATAGTTGTCTGCTGTTTCCTGTGAATTTCTAATTTCACAATAATATTGATGTTAATCTAGCAAAACAGTGTCACCTTTGACAATTAAAGATTTACAAAGACAGTGAATATAAGGAGAACATCTGGTGAAGCAGCTGAACTTGCTTTTGATGGTAAGTAGCCGACAAAAGAAGATTAAACATACTTCGCTGTCAAGGTAACCTAAGACGTTATTTACAAGTGCATTAGCTAATGTTATACTTGTCAGAAATAATATGTAGACTTGTCGTTGTAAAAGGTATATTATAAAACCTGACGATATTGGATAAGCAATACTGTTATATCAATGTTTATTATTATCATATTATTGTTAATACCTGTAGTGGAAGCATATGAGCTCACTGGCTTTCCTTGAGAAAGCCACAGAGCCCCTGAATTGTTAGATGACAATTTTAAACTGACCGTTAAGCTTTGTATGCATCACATACACATAGCCCACATATGATAAACAGATCAGCGCTCCAGTCCAGTCCAAATGATGAAACCCAGAGCAATAAGCTCAGCATTTACATTTATTACAATAACATGACACATCCATGGTCTGTTTCATCCCCAGTGTGAAAAGGCCTTAAAGCAAGACCTTTCAGTGTCATGAAGGTGGCTCTAGCAAGATAACCATTGTACCATACATTATGCCGCACAGCAAACCTGGTCGACACCAGCTTTTGCTCAAAGTTTTGGCTTGAAAATGGCTAAAAAACTCCTCTAACTAATCATCTCCTTTGGAAATAGTATCACTCTGAAGTATATATCAATCTATGAGTGATACAGATTGACAGCTGAAAGAATATGTTATAATGCAAACTTATTGAGCAGTAATGTCACTTCAGTAATTCCACCAAACAAAACAGTGCAATTACAGTAGCACAAACTGTATGTTTCATGTTTTGTTGTTGTTTTTCACCACAGGACTGTACAGTATGTCAGTAATGCAGAAAATCTGAGCAAGAATCTATTTCATTCACAAGGTTGTGTTGCTCTCACTAAACTACTAAATGTGTTTGCTGTCTGGCCATTTGCCCGCACTGGCTTTAAAAGAAGCCGTCTATAAAATCACAGGTAGCATTAAACAGTAATAGCTCACTATACTATTAATCAGTATGATGTTTACTTGTATATGAAATGTGGTATAGTTCATTCAAACCATAACATTACCACTTTATATTATGTATTTATGCTTGGTCCTGATTTACTGGAGTCCATTTCACACTGCTGTTACAGTAATACAACACCAATTAGAAAAGTGATTAGTCTGTTGTTGCTTATGAAAGGTAATATTTAACCACTAATTCACGTTAAATCAGCTGCATCAAGTTTAAAGTTTAAGAGCTGTAGAATGTGCAGCTGTCATGTTAGAAATATACTGAGTGTTAAAATAAATATATAAACCTGTGAATTTACACAATTAGTCATTTTATGCCTGCATTCCTTTCTCACCTTGATTGCGGCTACAGCATTTCTTGTTACTGTAATTTTTTTTTTTTAATATTCTTCGAAGGCAGAAGTGAGATAAGATAAATAATATAAAATATAGTTTATTGATCCCCCAGAGGGGAAATTCAAATATCACAGCAGCCCAAGACAAAAACAAAATGACATTCAATAGAATAAGATAAAAGAGAAAAAAAAAAAAAAAATAATAGATGAATAAAAAAATAAAATGAAATAAAATTGCTACATCAAGATGAATAAAGTGACTAAAAATGGCAAGTGTTGAATAAAATAAGTGTCAATAAAACAAAGTGTCAGCAGGCGGAACATGATGAATCAATTTAAGAGTCAATGACGGGCTGAATACACCATTTGACTCATTTCATGGGAACGTACAGCGCATGAAGAAGACATCCTGGTTACCAGAGCAAGTTGATAACAACCTTTGTGATACCGGGTATCTCTGACTGGGGTTTTAGGGTTTGTTCAGCCAGCTAAGGCAAAGAAAGCCTGAGTTGTTTCAGGAACACCGCTCCTTACGCAACAAAAACTGCCAGGTTAAGGAAAAGAAAACATTGTAATCACTGTTACAAGAAATTATTGTTAACTGTTAGAACAACACAAGATGGTATTAGAGGCAGATATTTTCAACAACCACTGATTACATCATTTGCAGGACATTAAGTTATAACTTTGTTAAAACCAGGCTAAATGTCCCTGATTTGGTTTAAAAGTTTTATGTGACCATTGTTTCAATGTCTACATTTCAGTATGTACTACAAGACCTGCTTTACATCAAAATAAATTACAGCGTTACTGAGCACTGAGGTCAAGCTTGCATTTGCTGATTGGCATCAGCTGCTTCATTCATGCTTCACCAGCTGTTTGTCTGCCGGCTGACTGGTAAGGTCCAATTATATCTATTCAGGTGTACAGCGTGAATGGACACTATGACTCTGCTGCAGCTCCCTCCACCATCCCAACCCTTGTAACTGCCTCGATACTACGAGAGCGTTTTTCAAAACTAACTACAACTGTTAAGTATGAATTGTCAACGTCTTGCCTCTAACTGAAATGGGATCATTGAAGTGCTGTTGAGACAAAGGTTATTTAAAATCTGTCACATTTCTATCACATTAACCTGCTTTAACTGAGCTGTCTTTTGACCTACTTAACTGATTTAGCTGAAAATTTTGGCTAAAATTATTTATAGTAACCATTGTTTTAGCAGAATTTTGGTGGCTGTACCAACCAACCATGACTGCATGCTTTTGATCCACCCCAATCTCCTACTTAAAGGTGAAGTCCACCAATTTTTCAAATAAGGGTGTAGTGACTGTGTAATTTTGTAAAATGACTGATCATTATGAGTATTATTCAGCCTATAAAAACTGCTGTGTAGTGTCTTTTGTGGGTCTGGAGGAACTTTATTAAGTCTGACAAAATTATAAATTAATAATATCAATAACATATCAATAATATCATGAATTTTACTTGGAGGCTACATATTTATAAAACAAAGCCTGTATTACAAACTGGAATTTAAAGGGACAATTCACCTCAAAATCACAAATACATATTTTCCTCTTACCCCTAGTGCTATTTATCAATCTAGATTGTTTTGGTGTGAGTTGTCGATGGTTGGATATAGGCCATAGAAATGTCTGCAATCTTTCCAATACAATGGAACTAGATGGCATTCGGCTTGTGGTGGCCAAAGTGCAAAAAAAAATAAAAAATACATTTGAAAAGCACTAACATCTCTCTCCAGAAATTAAAATGTGCATCTACTCGTGGATAAGAGGCTCATTCTTGTGACAATGTGAGATGTAAATGTTAATGTCAGCTAGCTCAGTGGTGCTAAGAGAGCTAACGATGCATGCTTCCTACTGCGTGGTGATACTGTTGGTGGATGTAGTTCAGGAGAAAGAAATTTGTTTCTACATAAAACTGCTCTCAACAAGGTCTGTGGATTATCTTCAGTTACCAGATCATGATTTCTGTAAAGAGACATTACTGTTTTTCAAATGTAATCTTTTTTCTTTTTTTTTTTTTTTTGGCGCTTTGAGCAGCACAAGTCGAGTGCCATGTAGTTCCATTATATTAGAGAGAAGGCAGACATCTCTATGACCAATATATCCAACACTTTGCAACTCACACCAAAACAGTCTACACTGATAAATAGCACTACAGGTAAGAACAAAAAAAATGTAGTTTGGATTTTGGGGTGAACTATCCCTTTTAAAAGCATGGGCATACGCTATTGATTTGCATCATGGGAAGTGTAGTATATTTTTTTGGATCTTGACCCATAGAGACTTTATGGAGCTGGGAAACACATTCCCAGGAATACCCTTTAAGATTTTTGTCGCAGTATGAGAATGTGCTTCCTGCTTTGCAGCTGAACACAAAAATAGGGTGTTTTATGTAGCCTGAATAAGCGTCCAATCGTTTTCCTAGCAAGGATAGTTACCAAGAAAGTTTTAAATTCAATTTCTTCTTCATAACCTCCAGTTAACGAGCTTGCGGTGTGTAAACAGCCTTTTTGTCCCTGCCCACTGAGGTGTAACGCAGCCAATGAGATTATTCCTGCCTCCAGAGCAGCCTCAGAAAAATGTTTATATAATTACAACTCCAATCTGCCAATTGTAAAGGTTTGATTTTACAGAGGTGGGGGTCACACACCTTATCTGACAGTACGTCAAAGCCAATAGCACATTTTTAACTGACAGTTTCCCCATGATATATGGTAACAGTGTTGGCCAGGGCAGTACTTCAATTTGACATCTGAATTAATATGGTTGACTTTAATGCTGGTCAGTGCAATTTCAGACCTTCTTTAAATTCATGGCAATCCATTGGCGCGAACGACAATTCTCACAGCAAACAACAGCGCCTGCAATTGCACTCCTCCACAAACACATGAGAGGGAAAAAAAGGACAAGAAAAAAAGCGGAATAAGTTTGGGTTTTCAATTTACACTGATCCTCAAGCCCATCAGCATTTAAATGAAAATATGAATCTGCAATCAAAAAGAATCTATGGATGGGAGAGCAGCTGAAGCGTGAGAGGTA